CGCGTGGATGCCTTTTGGTCCCGGTTGGTGCCACCAACCGGGACCAAAGGCCCCCTGACTGGGCTCGGCGCACAGGGCTACGTGGAGGCACATTGGTCCCGGTTCGTGTTTGAACCGGGACTAATGGGTGGAGGTATTAGTAACGACCCATTAGTCCCGGTTCATGAACCGGGACTAAAGGCCCTTATGAACCGGGACTATTAGGTGTTTTTCTACTAGTGTTTGCCAAGATTTTGAATGTATTAGATTCCATAGATGTTTACATGGGGAAATTTGACTATGTGGAATGACTTACTGGATATTTGTAGTTAGGTCTCCTTGATCGAGGAACTTGGCAAAGTTAAATGGTTGTTAACTATGTCAGGTTAATTTCCTGTGAAATCTCTCTCTCATTATATTATTGCAAAGAATGTTGTGTATTCCTTTAAATTACCATGGAGGATGAAGATGCCTTAAAAGTGAAAGTGCTTGAATTAGTGATCAAACGTAGGACCCTAACCATGTATAATCTAAGTAAGAAATGGTGGATAGGAATAAACACTGTGAATTCGGTGGCACTGAAGAAACTATAGATCATGTATCTTTTGCTTCCTCCCTTTCTAGATTTCATTGGAATGTGGTATGTGGGCCATTTGGTAACCCAAAAAAGATCCATGTGTTTTTATGATTTGGGTCAAAACTGGTTGCCTTATATTGGTAAAGATAGAACTGTAGTATCTGTTGGATCTGCAGCTTTAATCTGGACCATTTGGAAAACAAGAAATAAATCTTGTTTTTAACATGTGATTCCCACTGAACCTACTAATTCGATCTTTATTTGTGTCCCCTGCTGGATTCGTGGATCGTACTAGAAAAGAGAGTGCAAACAAGAAAAATGCTTAGTGAGGTATCTAAGTGACCCAAGACTTCTGATTATGCTCGAGATAGTCTATGTTAGAACATCCCTATGCTGGTCACGTAAAACTGCGGTGTTTTGTTTTGCTTTGCTGAGTTGTCCCTTAATTATGGTCAGGTTCCCCTCTTTGCTTATCCTGATGCAGGTGATGCATTGTTTTAATGGGCTATCGATTGCTGTATCTAGACTCCATTTTTGCAATGGACGTTTAGATTCTTTATTACTCACTCCATTCGAAAAAGATTGTCCCTTAAATGCAGAAATCCCATTTAGAGCTCGGCCTCCAGTGAGGCCTCCAAATTCAAATTTGAAATTTCATCAAAATTCATATTTTTACATTTCAGAAAATTCTGAAAATAAATACAGATATACATGAAGGCATAACACACATGTGTGTAAATTTTCAGTTCGGAATACATTGAAATGAGGGTTGTGCAAAAAAACAAATCTGGGACTGTTTAACACACGATACTATTCATCCTCCCAGGCCATGAATTTGTCTTTTTTGTACAGGTCACAACTCAAGGTATTTCATCATAAATTTTTACACACATGTGGGTTACATGCTTACATACATGCATATTTCTTTTCAGAATTTTTTGAACCATAAAAGTTTGAATTTGAATTTTTCAAAAATAAAGGCCTCTATGGAGCTCGGCCTCCAAAACGCCTCTCTCCCTTAAATGGATGTATCTATATCAAATTAGTGCTAGATACATTCATTTCAGTGTCAGCTTGGGACAAGTTTTTTTTTAACGGAGGGAGTATATAAATCTATAAAAAGTATTTCGTAGTGTATGCGGGCAAGAGAACAAAGAGCTTGTCGGTCCAAAACTGAGCAAACAGCCTGTCGGTCCCAAAACAAAACAAACAGTGGGGGTCGACACGTCGAGCATATAATGGATCGGCCCACTGCCATCCGAGTCACTGCACAACTCCCCTGCACGACCGTACGTTCTTTTGTCGCATACTACTTTAGCACATCGTACGGAGTGTCTCCTCGATTCCTCGAATCACATGGGTGCAGTAACATATGCAGAAGAAGCAACAGATGGTATACTTGTTTGGTCCATCCATTAGAGTGCGTACATGAGCTTGTGAGGCAAAAAAATAATAATATCCTACAGCAGTAAAAACAAGAATCACCTATAGATCAATCGTCTCAAAATATTGTATTTTCAATGGATTTCCTCTCTCTGTCAATAGATTAAAAAAAATCGGTTGTCAGAGGAATAGCAAAACCGGACAGCAAAAGAACGGGGAAGCAACAGGTGCACTGATATTATTACGGTCGAGCCGTTATTACATGCGGTACGGATTGATGTACGAGGACTCGCAAAAAAAAAATTAACAATTATTTTATCACGAGATGAATATTAACGGGCTAGCTGCCTACAATATCACGCAAGAACACAAATGTACCAAGAGCAGCGGACGTGTCGCTACAAGTTCGATCGGCGACACAGACGATTATATTTGTTCCTTGAATGTTTTCGTCGACGACACCTACACAGAGATTAATCGCCAAGTTGGTTAATTAAGCTAGGTTGGAGGATCTAATTAATTATAGTAATCAACAGAGAGATCGATAAGAGCGAGTAGTAGATGAATTCATTGGTGTCACCTGTGCAATATGAATGGCAGCAGCCGGCCTGGCGACGCTAGATAGCTAGAGGTGCAGCTCGAGGTCCGGCGCCTCGCCGCCGCCGCCGCCGCTAGGGACGGAGGCCCTTGACCGGCTCATCACGCCGTCGCGGCCAGTGGACGGGTCCAGGAGCGGCGCGGGCTCTGCGAAGCGTGGAGCGCGGCCGCCTCCCCACCTCTCTTGCCTGGAGTCATCGGTGGCTGGAGCCACCGCGGCGCCACCGCCGTGCGAGGCGATGTAAGTGCACATGGACCAGCCGGCAGCAGAATCGCAGGACGGCCCGGTGGCGGCACCTCCCAACAGGCTGTCGTTGTTGTAGGGGTCGCCGAGGACTCCGGCGAGGCGGTCCTTGCGGTGCGCGTTCTGGTGGCCGCCAAGCGCCTGCGACTTGAGGAACGTCTTGTCGCAGAAGAGGCACTGGAACAGCCGCACCGTCTTGCCGTCCACGCACACCGTCTGGGCTTGCTCGTCGTACCGGTCTAGCCTTCTGCCCGCCGGCGTCAACGCCAGCAATAGGTCGTCCTCCGCTCCCGCCGCCGCCGCCGCCGCCGCCTGCGCATGGAACCACGTCGACGTGGCCCTCTTCATCGAGGTTTATAATATTATATGTATGCCAAGGTAGCTGCTGCTGCTAGGATTGGCAGCAGCGGCAATCCTATATATGGACTTCTCGATGGGATTCGACGGCTAACACCACTACGAAATATTCCCAAGTGAGAAAACAGAGAGGTTCTACAGTAGTGCGGGGTGCGGTGCCGATATTAAAGTCAAGCGAGTCACCGTACCCCGGAGAGGAGATCATTGCGGAGGAAGTGGTTGAAAGAAAATTCCAAACAACCGGTGCAGTACACGTGGGTCCTGCAATTATGCAAAACTACATCTCGGATTTGCAACTTTCGATTTGGACGAATGTGATCCCCAACCTAGTAGGGTTCAAATCTTGATGCTCGCATTATATTTGAATTTATTTCAAGATTTCCGGCGATGCGCTTTTAGTGGGAGGAGACGTTCCCGTCGACGACGAGGCGCCTACGGTGGCTTCGTAAATCTTAAGATGATATGCCGGCTCAGTCTCTCGGAGGTGCTCATAGGGATAGGTGTGCGTGTGTGCGTGTGTGCATTCATAGGGGTGAGTGTATGCGCGTATATGAGCGCTTGTGTCTGTACTGATGCTCAAAAAAATAAATAAATTTAGCAACACTATTTTTTTTCTTCCTCGACATAGTGATTTTCTTGAACATGAACCGTATATATTATAAATAAAAAAGTAATATGTACAAAGAATTACAAAAAGCATAGAAGCTCAAAATGAACAAAACTTAAGAAACACCAGTTCTAGGATAGCCTAAAATGTTCATGGGAGCTTAAGCAAGATAATGATCAATCCAGTTAAGGAAGGTCTCTTGATTCTTTCTGTTGATTATATGCTTGACCAGCAAGAGGTCATTCCTGAGTAGTCTCTTCCATGAGAAGATGGAAGGTGCCTCAGGTTTGAAAATCTTAAAGTTCCTCTGCGTCCAGATATTCCAGCAAGCCATACTAACAAATTCTATCAAATTTAGGTGGAAGTTCTTGCAATAGGAGCATGGTCTCATCCATAGTTGATATGGCTCTCTTCTTGTTGTTAACCAAGCAATCCTAACATTCCAGGGCAAAGGAACAATTCCAGAAAAGATTAAGGGCAGTCTCTTCAGAAGCAGTACTGCATAACTCACATGGATAGGATGGGAGGCAGAAGGATTTTCTGTGGAGCAAATTCCTAGTACTGATTATGTCATGCAAGATTAGCCAAAAGAAGATTTGATACCTGAGCATGGTGCCATTCTTCCAAAGTTTCCTGAAAATAGGAGCAGTAGGTTGCCCATTGGAGTACCATTTATACATCTTAATGGCAGAAAAAAGAGTAGCTATTCCAGTGATATTTCCATTTGTCTTGAGCATCAGTAAATTCAATAGATTCCATAGTGTTTTGCAGGGTCTGAAACTACTAAAACGCCTATTTAGGTTGTGGTGTATGAAAGTGTCCACAAGGATCCTAGGAAACCATAAACTCTTTAAAAGAAATGTGATGGCTGAGGCTCGTTCAGGATATAGCTCTTTAATGGAGGTAGCCCCCTAGTCATCTTGCCATAGGAGAGCTGAATTACCATTCTCAATAGATGTCTTGGCGATCTGTTTATACCGAGGGACAAACTTATGTAATTCATTTTCCAATGATCCTCTCCCATTTTAGGGGCAATGCGTCTGTCTTGTGAGGAGGTGTAGTTTAGCCAAGGATCTTAGACTATTTGACCTCTCCTGAAACAACACGATCCTACACTCTCGCCACTGCCCTCCACTACATGTCATTTTCCCTCACCTTGACCCTCACCAACTCCTATGCCCTTGCTTTTCTTGGCTGAGATCATTGACCTGGCTACGATCATTGGCTTAGCTCATTATGGGAGACTTTAATCTCATCCGTTACTCCCATGAAAAGGTTGAGGCCCGAAGAAAAGGTTGCGCCAAGATGAAAGGTTCACGATCACAGCAATCGCGGGCGATGGCCAACCGATTGAACCCATCTGGACCAAGGAAGCATTTTCAGCTCAGTGCTAGGTTCTTGTTAGGGACATGATCCAGATCAGCATCCACCAATAGAAAGCCTAAAAACGAAGACCCTCAAGTTTCTTATGTCGAAGATAGACAGAAGCATGATCTTTGGACCGCGTTGAAGGAAAATTTCACCCTACCGCAAGAGAAGGATCCGGTAAGCCAGTTATAGAGCCATTGGTCAAGGCTCATGCTCTCAAGAAGATGGCAGATCTGTTCAGGAGGTGGAAGAATGAGTTGAAATCAACGTATGTCGACAAAGAGAAGACTCCAGAATTCACCGGCCGATTTGAGAAGATAAGAGATCACTGGGACGCATTTGTGGCCCACAAGACATCGGAGAAGAGTAAGATGTCAGCGACAAAAAATAAAAATGATGCAAAGAAGGAGCATCACCATCGCACGGGGTCAGGTGGCTACCTCAAAGCCCGGCCGTTGTTAGACAAGGCTGAGAATGATCTGATTGCTAAAAGGGTCGAACCAAAGACATTGAACTGGCCAGACCGTTCAAAGACTTGGTTCTTCGGGTTGGGGGAACCTTGGACCCTCAAACAGGGAAGTGCGTTTGGACGGACGAGCGACATGATTTACCCGTCAAGAAGCTTCAGAAGTATATCACCGCAGAGCGGCAAGGAACATTCTTTCCCGACAGAGAGAACGACGAGCACACAGAGGCCCTCGGGAATGCTGAGCACCCTAGACGAACACGAGGCACGCCAGGCTCTGTTGCGTGGAAGGTTCGCTTTCCCGGCACAGGCGGTTACAAAACCCGAGAGAGGAGGAGGAAAGTGGAGCTGAGCGAACTACATATGTTGAATGCAAGGGTGCGAAAGCTAGAGGAACAAGCTGTTGAGAGCCAGTGACCTTCCCAAGCTACCCCAGAAGATACCCCGCCATCTCAGCGGAGAAGCAGCGTGGCTTCCACCGAGCACATTCAGCATCCTGACCTCATGGCTACTAGCTACACCGTGGATGCTATCACGGAGGCTCAACAGTGCCAGCTTATCACGCAATGGCAGAACCTCAAAGTCAAGGCGGCTGTCGGCTCTGTTGCACCTCCTGAACCCGACACAACTTTTCACTGCCTTGTGATTCCACAAAGCTATGTTGTTGTGATGGTGGATGATGACCCACAAGTATAGGGGACCTATCGTAGTCCTTTCGATAAGTAAGAGTGTCGAACCCAACGAGGAGCAGAAGGAAATGATAAGCGGTTTTTAGCAAGGTATTCTCTGCAAGTACTAAAATAAGTGGTAACAGATAGTTTTGTGATAAGATAAATGGTAACAAGCAACAAGTAACAAAAGTAAATAAAGTGCAGCAAGGTGGCCCAATCCTTTTTGTAGAAAAGGATAAGCCTGGACAAACTCTTATAATAGGAAAAGCGCTCCCGAGGACACATGGGAATATCGTCAAGCTAGTTTTCATCACGCTCATATGATTCACGTTCGGTACTTTGATAATTTGATATGTGGGTGGACCGGTGCTTGGGTACTGCCCTTACTTGGACAAGCATCCCACTTATGATTAACCTCTATTGCAAGCATCCGCAACTACAACAAAAGTATTAAGGTAAACCTAACCATAGCATGAAACATATGGATCCAAATCAGCCCCTTACGAAGCAACGCATAAACTAGGGTTTAAGCTTCTGTCACTCTAGCAACCCATCATCTACTTATTACTTCCCAATGCCTTCCTCTAGGCCCAAATAATGGTGAAGTGTTATGTAGTCGATGTTCACATGACACCACTAGAGGTTAGACAACATACATCTTATCAAAATATCGAACGAATACCAAATTCACATGACTACTAATAGCAAGACTTCTCCCTTGTCCTCAGGAACAAGCGTAACTACTCACAAAGCATATTCATGTTCATAATCAGAGGGGTAATAATATGCATAAAGGATCTGAACATATGATCTTTCACCAAATAAACCAACTAGCATCAACTACAAAGACTAATCAACACTACTAGCAACCTACTAGCACCAATCCCGGACTTGGAGACAAGAATTGGATACAAGAGATGAACTAGGGTTTGGAGATGAGATGGTGCTGGTGAAGATGTTGATGGAGATTGCCCTCTCCCGATGAGAGGAGCGTTGGTGATGACGATGGTGATGATTTCCCCCTCCCGGAGGGAAGTGTCCCCGGCAGAATAGCTCTGCCGGAGCCCTAGATTGGTTCCGCCAAGGTTCCGCCTTGTGGCGGCGGAGTCTCGTCCCGAAAGGTTGCCTCCTATTTTTTTCTCATCGAAAGACTTCATATAGGAGAAGATGGGCGTCGGAGAGCCACCAGGGGGCCCACGAGGTAGGGGGCGCGCCCAGGGGGGAGGGGCGCGCCCCCACCCTCGTGAGCAGGGTGTGGGCCCCCTGGCCTTCATCTTTGGTGATGATTTTTCTTTATTTATTTTAAGATATTCCGTGGAGTTTCAGGACTTTTGGAGTTGCGCAGAATAGGTCTCCAATATTTGCTCCTTTTCCAGCCAGAATTCCGGCTGCCGCCATTCCCCCTCTTCATGGTAAACCTTGTAAAATAAGAGAGAATAGCCATAAGTATTGTGACATATCGTGAAATAACAGCCCATAATGCGATAAATATCGATATAAAAGCATGATGCAAAATGGACGTATCAACTCCCCTAAGCTTAGACCTCGCTTGTCCTCAAGCGAAAAGCCGATAACAATAAATATGTCCTCATGTTTAGAGGTAGAGGCGTTGATAAAAGTAAAATACGGACATGAAGGCATCATGATTACTTCATAACAACAACATATATAGATTTGTCATATGATTACTTATGTTCAAGTGATGATCTTTTCACAAAGCCAAAGTATGAGTCATAAACCTTATTGAGCACCAACAAATTATACCCTCAGTCATTGAAGCAACTGCAATTTATCATAACATCAGAAAGAGTCTATGTCAGAGCTTAAAAGCAAGTCCACATACTCAACTATCACTTAGTCCTTCATAATTGCTAACACT